GAGCATGAGTGGGGGAGGGACAGAGAGAGGGAGACAGAATCAGAAGCAGGCTCCAGGCTCTGAGCTGTCAGCACAGAGCCCAATGCAGGGCTCGAACTGACAAACTGTGAGATCATGACCTGAGCCAAAGTCGGTCGCTCAACCAACTGAGCCACCCAGGCGCCCCGATTTAACACTTCTTAAGCCTATTATGGCCATATTGGATACTGTAACATTTAAGCATCAGTGTGTGAAAACGTGAACCAAAAATTTCATGGAGTGTCTATTTTTAAAAAAAAAATTTTTTTTAATGTTTATTCATTTTTGAGAGACAAAGACAGAGCTTGAGCAAGGGAGGAGCAGAGAGAGGAAGACACAGAATCCAAAGCAGGCTACAGCCTCTGAGCTGTCAGCACAGAGCCAGACATGGGGCTCAAACTCACGAACCGTGAGATCATGACCTGAGTTGAAGTCGGGAGCCAGCCAGGTGCCCCTGGTCACATCATTAATTTTCAATGTTTGTCTCTCTTCAGTCTTGTACGTGAAACTCCCAGCAGATTTAATATTAGCATTTGTTATCTGGTGAAATCCTTCAGATGCTCTGTAAGTCAGTCCAATTGGGGACTCATATAATAAAGAGTGGAATTAGTAGATCTGATGAAGACCTGTGTTTTCCTTGTCACATTGGACTTCTAGTCGCCGTATGGATTGGGCTTTAGAATATGCAATGGTGAACAATAGAGTTCTTTGGCCTGGGTCTAAAAGTAGAAATATAGAAAAGCAAGCAAGACCACAAGGAAAATGGCTGCTAACTGCAGGGCACAGGTGGACATTGTGGGCTCAGACAGAGGACCTGGTATACTAGTTAAAGGAATGCGTGAATAAATCTGTGTCAATAGAACAGTGCCAGAAGCAGCAGTCCCAGACTGAGCATGGCCACCATTCTCTTGCCCACGTTGGTCACTGGGCCCTGGGTCAGACTTGCTGCTTGGTGTGCTGGAGGATCACAGGCTCCTGGCTGGTACAGGAGAGAGAGCTAGCAGGGTCGTAAATTGAGGGGCATAATGACAGTGATATGGCACCATGTGGCCACCCATGCTCACCATTCCCCATACCTCCAGTCAAATAATTTGTGTTTGAACCACAACTTTTCCAAATTGCTTAAAGAGCCTGGATCCTATTATTTATAAGTCTATTTTTTACAAAGCAGCTTTCCTTGGCCTTTTTTTTTTTCAAGTAGCATTATTTTTGTCCCAATTCTTAGAAGTATGTTTGTTGTTGAAAGTTGGTAGCACTGAATGAGTAGGAGGAGAGGTTTTTACCCAGAAATAATTGCTATTGATACTTGGTATATTTTTACAGCATAAAAATTGTACTTTTGAGTGCTGAATTTTTGCTTAACCTCTGTCATGAGCATATTCCTGACATTAAAGGCTTAAAAAGCATGATTTAATAATCTTCTTTAAAAAGCGTGTACACTCAACTTTGTATGCATGCAGTTTTATTCCCACCTTGTTTTATTTTTAAAGTATTTTTATGTATTTTTAGAGAAGTTGGAAAGAAAATACACCATGGTGTTAGTTGTGATTTTCTAAGTGATGAAAATTTCTGGATTTTCTAACCTTTCTACATTGGTTATTTATTTCTTGTAGAGGCTGAACTAGTAGTTTTTTGAGGTGTGGACATAATAGAATTGATGCTAGATAAACCAACATAGAAATTTCTTTTTTGAAAAAAGATTATAAAAAATAGACAGTAAAAACTAAAGAATAAAGACAGGAAGTTCATGGTTAATAATATAGCACTTATCACCTGATTGGGAACTGATCCTCTTTGGGTGACTGAAAGGAGTAAAAATAATACCTTTCACTGATGTTTGAAATTCGGGAGTGACTTAGAATAAGAGAGTAGTACAAGTTTGAAAAAACCTCTGGTTTGTGTTTTCTTATCTGTTCAGGGAGAAACTTCAAAGTTACTCAATTTCCACTTGTCTTTTATTTTCAAGAATATAAGTATTTTCAGGCACGTGGGTGACTCAGTCGGTTAAGCATCCAACTTCTGCTCAGGTCATGATCTCACAGTTTATGGGTTTGAGCCCTGAGTTCGGCTCTGTGCTAACAGCTCAGAGCCTGGAGCCTGTTTCAGTTTCCGTTGTCTCCCTCGCTCCCTGCCCCTCCCCCACTCGCACTCTGTCTCTCTCTCTCTCTCTCTCTCAAAAATAAATAAAACATGAAAAAAATTTTTTAAAGAATATAAGTATTTTCTTTATATTCCAGAATGTGAAACTTACTTTCTTTTTGCTTTTCCTAAGCCACTGCTTCCTGCCTCTTCAGGAATTCGATTCTCTTTGTCAGAATCTTTAGGGGACAGCCCAAAGAATTCTCCGATTCCTTTTTGCCACTTGGGAGTTGGGCGCACACATACTGGATTCCCTCCGGCATACTTATTTTCAACTATAAAATATAAACAGATGGAAGTAAGTAAGAACTAAGGATACAACTGCCATTCCTTAAAGGGAAACAATTCTTTAACATCAAATCTAAAGAGTATATGGTATTACATTCATCTTAAAATAATTAGAAAATGTGCGATGACGAATAACTATTCAAATAGTCTTACCCATTGTCATATTAAAACATGACACATTTTTTCCTAATATGAGGTAGCACAGTGTAGTGTCAACCACCAAAATTTTACTTAACAAAGTCATTTAGTTAAAGCACCTGTGAAAGGCAAAACAAATATACAGCAGTGTGAAAGTTTCCACAAAATTAGGTTTCACTTTTCAAAGCTATTGGCTCCTTTTCAGTTCATAAGGTAAATCCAAGTCCTGATTTTTTAAAAGTAAGTTCTATGTCCAATCTAGGGCTTGAACTCATGGCCGTGATAGAGTCACATGCTCTACCAACTGAGCCAACCAGATGCCCCGATTCCTGATTATTTTAAAACAGTAATATAGAGGAAAAATTTCTGCCTCCTAATGAAGTAATGGTTAGAATAGCAAGATGAGCAAATTACTGAGTCACTACATAGATCTTTTGCTTTAAACACATTTGTCACAAACTCTACCTGTTAAAGAAAACAAAAAGGGAACCTGGGTGGCTCAGTTGATTAAGAGTCTGACTCTTGATTTCAGCTCAGGTCATGATCTCCAGGTTTGAGTCTGATCCCTGGGTTTGGCTCTGTGCTGACGGTTTGGAGCCTGCTTGGGATTCTCCCTCTCCCTCTCTCTCTGCCCCTCTTCTGCTTTCTCTCCCTCAAAAATAAATAAATAAACTTAAAAAAAAAAAGAGATCTTTAAAATGCCTTAAGGGGTGCATTTGGCTAACATAAGTTCATTAAGGGCCTATTCAGTTGACTCTGGCGATACAACAGTGGACCAGACAATGGGATGTAGCCCTAACTGGAATTTAATGGTACAGGGTATGGAATATTCTCAATAAATTCATCACCTTTATACTTTTGACCTACAGCTCCTTTATATCTAACGAGAGCAAATTAGTACACACATGCATATATTTTTTGGTAAGTTGTTTCTAATTTGGAACAGGGGGAAGTTTAAGTTAACTTAAGAACCCATGAAGTTCTTCACAGTGCTTTCTTGTATGTTCTTAACTAGGCCTTGTGGAATTAATCTTCCTAACTGCTCAACTTCCTAGGAAAGGAATGAGGCACCAGATGGCACAGTATTTTCTCAACCTCTCCTTGCACAGAAGGAGTAGTGTGAAGCTATTTCATCGGGCCAAGTTTTCCCTCCTAATGTCCCAAAGGCGGTATCAGGAGCTGCACAGTTGGAAAACACACACACACAGACATCATGCCAAAAAACAAACAAAAAAACATGCAGAAATGAAAACAAAAACGTTTACGCTAAGCAGACAACTTGATTAGCACGGTCAACTACTAGATTAATTCTTAATCTAGTAAAAGAGGGCTTAAATAGCCTCCTACAAGAAAAGGACATCTGTCAGTATTAAAAATAAAAACGCTAAACTAGAAAAGAAAAACAGGTTTGAAGATAAATCGTGTCCATCCCTAACCCTGAGGCCTGAGATTCTTTTCCTTGTGACCCCCACCTTTACCCCAACCTGTCAGGCAGCCAAAGCCCCCTCACTATATCAGAGGGCAAGAAAGAAACTCGAGTGTGAGAATCTCAGGAAAATAAATTCCAAGGTGGGTCAAGGGGCTTGCAGGTCAGGAGAACTGCGGTGCCCGGCCTGATCCTCTTTGGAGAAGGTTCCTCCAGGGGTTGCAGGGGCGCTTTTTACCTTTCCTCGACGAAAGTGATGCGGAATTACTGGCAGAAGTGGAAGAACCAAGCACCTTCCTGGGGGCTCGAGAAGCCACCACTGTGGAGAGGAAAGGAGGCATTCAAAACAGGGCTGTAAGGTTCCGACACCGAGTCTCAGTGCCACGTTCTCACCACGGTCCCCGACCCCGCCACCTGGTGAGGAGAGCCCCGTGATGCAGTACAGCAGGCCAACCATCCCCTGGCCGTGCCGCTCCTCCCTCTTGGTAAAGGGGCCAGGCCGCTGTTTCCTGAACGGCTGGACCATTTGGCTCAAAGGGCGGTGGGGAGCCCTGGCCTCTCCCGCTCGCAGAGGGGCTGCCGGGAGAACCCCCTGCCCCCCACTGCCTTGCTCAACCTCCTCACCTTTTCTGTAGGTGCCTGGGACACTGTCCGCTTTAGTCCGCACCATATTCAAACGCGAGGAGAGGGGAGCAATCAATGGCTTCCCAACCGAGGGTGTTTAACTGGACAAGGACCCGAAAACGAATCTCCCGCCACAGTTTATATTGGTCTCTTTCCCGCGCGCTCCACGGACTCTCCCGGGAAGCCGCTCCCATTGGTTCCGCGCCGTACCCCTGCAACCAATCGCCAGTGTCCAGCGATGACAGCAACGAGGCTTGGCTCAGTACCGTCCCGTCCATCAACTTTGCAGAAGCTTGTGATTCGTTCCCGCCCCAAGTGGGAGGTGCCAAGGTGCTTTTTCGGGGCGCCCCAAGAGTGAGTGCTAAGATTCTGAGTAAGGGAAATGGAACTGCTTAGAAAAGAAGACCGAGGAAAGACAGCGAATTCCATTTCTTCAAAAGTTACCACAGGGTGAAATCCATGTAATTGACTCCAGGAAGAGAAACTTGAAATGAAGCGGATTTTTTAATGAAAATCAAAATAAAGAACTTAAAAAAAAAACAAAAAAAAACCCTCAGACGAACTCTTTCTGCCGGGTGCTTAACAAAACAATTCTATGGAATTTTAGAAAAGGAAGGTATTTATGAGGCTTTTCTACGTTTTTAGTCCGTATGGTAACTTGTAACTAAAGAAAAAAAAAACTGAGTAAATTGTATATATATATACACACATTAAAAAGAACAAATTAATGAAACGTCTTCCCAAGATCCAAATGGTCTCAGAGTTCCTTAAAAATATGCCAAATGTGCCAAGGGTACATCCCTGGCATACAGTGATTATAAATCTAGAATAGGAACTCAACACTATTTTCTATCCCTATGCCTATCTTCTAATTACAATACCCCTGGGGAGTGATTTTCACTCTCTGAAAACCATGCATAAAACATGATCAGATGAGCTTGCCTTGGGATGTATTTTGTTAAATGCTCACTTGAAAGGCAATCCTAAAAGTGTATGCACGGCATTAATTCTCTCCAATAAATTATGCTTGAACTTTCAGAAAATAGGCTAGTCAGTACTTCAACAGAATCAACAACCACTTTGTGTTTTAGAATTAAAGAATCTTAAAAGATCTAGACAACAGGTGAAATTATATATTATATTACAATTACATTAATCACATTATAATTCAATTAATTAACTAATTATATTATAACAGCAGGAAATGTATTGGAAATAACCTGTAGCTTTGTCTAAAAACCTTGGAGTCTAAGACTACATTAGAATTCCTACCAGAAAAATCAACAAGCCTCAGGGTATTACTTTCTTCTTTGTCATCACACACCTCTCAATACATAATCGTTCTTGAATGCACATTATTTCTTTTTCAGTTAAAGTGGCTTCTACAAAGGCCTGAATTACTTAATTCAAACTCATTTCCTAGGTCTCTGCAGAGATTAGAACAGCATAGAGAATCTGCTGGTCTTTCTCATAGTTCAGATGCCAAGTAAGTGGCCAGAAATAATTGCAAATATACCTTTGCACACATGAGCAGTTTATTACCATAGCTATGTTTATATGTTTGTCTTTTAATAATAGGGAAGAAAACGTATTAAGGTAAAAAATTAGGAAACAAGCAGTGATCTCTAGCAGATATTCTTTTAAAAAATATTTTTAACATTTATTTTTGAAAGAGACACACACAGAGTGTGATCAGGGGAGGGGCAGAGAGAGGGAGACACAGACAGAATCCAAAGCAGGCCCCAGGCTCTGAGCTGTAAGCACAGAGCCCAAGGCAGGGTTCAAACTCACCAGCTGCGAGATCATGACCTGAGCTGAAGTTGGAAGCTTAACATATTGAGCCACACAGGCCCCCTGCAGAAGTTTTTAATTTAAATGTTTACTTTGAGGAAAGCTTCTCCTTTGAGGTTTGCTTTTCCTTTATTTAAATAAAATACAGAGAACTGCGTGGTGTGAACTTTAAAATGTCAAAGGCCTAGGGCATTAAGAAAAGTTGTAGTACATTTGTATGAAATATCTGCCTAAACTTATACAAAAAAAATATCTTTTAAGTCATGTAAAATAGGTGTGCTTGCTTTGCTCAGGCAGAATGGAGGCACCTGGGTGGCTCAGTTGGTTAAGTATCTAACTTCAATTCAGGTCATGTTCTCAGTGTTTGTGAGTTCAAGCCCCTCTTTGGGCTCTGTGCTGACAGCTCTAAGCCTGGAGCCTACTTTGGATTCTCTCTTTCTCCCTCTCTCTCTCTCTCTCTCTACCCCTTCCCCATTTGTGCTCTGTCTCTCTCAAAAATAAATAAACATTAAATTTTTTTTTTACATAAATGATAATCACTGTAAATAGCATTGCATTATATGACATATATTACAAACCAGAGATTGCAATAATTAACATATGCTTTAAATAAAAAGAATACCTTTATTCTTAAAAAAAATTTTTTTTTAATGTTTACTTATTTTTGAGAGAGAGGGACAGAGCATGAGTGGGATGGAGCAGAGAGAGAGGGAGAGACAGAATCCAAAGCAGGCCCCAGGCTCTGGGTTGTCAGCACAGAGCCGGACGCAGGGCTGGAACTCATGACCTGAGCCAAAGTCAGATGCTTCACCAACTGAGTGACCCACTTAGCTGCCCCATATTCTTTAAAAAATTTTCAACGTTTTATTTATTTTTTGAAAGAGAGAGCATGAGCAGGGGAGGGGCACAGAGGGAGAGGAGGACAGAAGATCCAAAGAGGGCTCTGTGCTGACATGCTGACATCAGCAACCCCAAGGCAGGGCTTGAACTCACAAAGCGGGAGATCACGACCTGAGGTGAAGTTGGACACTCAACCAATTGAGTCACCCAGGCGCCTCCAGAATACCTTTATTCTTGAGGACCTAAAAATTTCATCATAATTTATATGATGTGCTAAGCCCTATTGTAAAAAAAAAATTCTGTCATAGTCTCTGTCTTCAAGAAATTAATATTTAAAATGTTTGTTAATTAATTAACTAATTTAGAGAGCATGCGTGCAAGTGCAAGCAGGGAAGGGGCAGACAGAGAGGGAAAAAGAATTCTAAGCAGGCTTCTTGCTGTCAGTGCAGAGTCGGATGTGGTGCTTGACCTCAGGAACCCTGAGATCATGACCTGAGCAGAAATCAAGAGTCGGACCTGACTGAGCCACTAGGCACCCCAAGAGGCTAACATTTAAATTATGGGAACTGAACAGATATAGAAAATGTAGAAGATTTTTATGAAGAAACAAAATTTGTATCCACTGTTAATAAATATTCACAGAGAATTTGGGTTTTTTTAAGCTAAAAAATCATATATTTTCCATTAATAACAAAGACAATCTATACCGAATGTACATCAATACACTTATATGATTTCGATCATTTATATCAATGGAAACATTAGCACAAAAAGTTGAAGCAGGAACCAATTAATGTAATTGCTCAGTCTAGATGGCCTAATGGGAATGAAGAACCTATCAATGTAAAACGAAGTCAGCCATTAAATTTATTAATGGGGGCGTCTGATGGGCTCAGTCAGTGGAGCACAACTCTTGATATCAGGGTTTTGCGTTACAGCCCCACATTGGGTGTAGAGATTACTTACAAAATAAAATATTTTAAAAAATATATTGATGAAATATATCAGAGGACGTTAAAGCTCTCCAGTATAGTCTGGCTAAATTTTCATCAGTCCATCGTCCCAGTGGAGTAGAGAGTACTGACACACATGCAAGTTTGGTCTTCTTGGGTTGAAATACCTTTGACTCTTTAAAAATCACTGCAGCGTGGGCAAATAGGTTAAATAGGTGATGGGGATTAAGGAATACATTTGTCCTGAAAAATTTAACAGAAGACCATGGGGGAGGGGAAGGGAGAAAAAAAAGTTAGGGAGGGAGCCAGACCATAAAAGACTCTTAAAAACTGGGAATAAACTAAGGGCTGATAAGGGGTGGAGGGAGGGGAAAGTGGGTGGTGGGCACTGAGGAGGTCACCTGTTGGGATGAGCACTGGGTGTTGTATAGAAACCAATTTGACAACAAATTTCATATTAAATAAATTGAAAAAAAAGGAATGCACTTGTGATGAGCACCAGGTGTTAGATGGAAGTGTTAAATAACTATATTGTACATCAGAAACTAATATAACTGTATGTTAACTGTAATTAAACACAAAACTTAAAAAGAGAAGTCATTGTTGGCCAAAAAAAAGTATTACATAAATTAAAAAAAAAAATCACTCAGAATTTATGTCAAAGTTCTTTAAAGACAAATCATAACACCTGTTATATTACAAGTTTTTCCTCCTGGAGCTTCCTGACTTGTTTTGGCCCTCCTGGAAAAGACCTGGTTCAAAAAAATTAAATAGAAAAAGGTTCTTGCAGCATGAACCTAGTATTAGACCATACAGAGTATTAATAAAACCACGACCACCAAAGCAAATCCCTGAAGCAGTTATTCTAGCTTGCAAGTGCTATTTTAAATGTTTTACATAAACTAGAGCAATTTTTTTTTAAGTTAGTTTCTTTTGAGAGACACAGAGAGAGGGCGTGAGCGAGCAAGAGTGCATGCAAGCAGGGGAGAGTCAGAGAGAGAATCCCAAGCAGGTCCCGACCTGCCAGAGAAGAGCCCTAGAGCCGGCTGAATCGCAGGAACTCGGAGATCATGATTTGAGAAGGAATCCAGAGTCCCATGCTTAACCCACTAAACCTTACCCAGGGGCCTCAAAACCAGAACAAGTTAAAAGCTGGCCTCTCAGATTACAGTTTTGATTTATCTTTACCTCGACTATAGTTTTTATAGGTAATTACACTGTCTTCTCAACCGAATTCCTGATTCTCGAGTCTTACATCTTACCATGCAGAAAAATCAGGCGCAGATTAGCTCTGGTTCCAGCATAAACACACCAGGAAGTGGGAAGGAGGAGGCGGCACAGGTGGGAGGGATCTGTGCTGGGGCGGTACAACCGCGAGGGGCGGTGCAGGCTGGCGGAACCCGCGCGAACGAGGTTGGTGTTGCGAAGGGGACTAGTCCAGTGCAGGACTTAGGGCTGTTGGAGCCCAGCTGGTTCCGGCTGGGAAAAATGGCGGTGGCTGGGGCGGCGTCCCGGGAGCAGCTGGTGGGCTGGTGTACCCAGCAGTTAAGGAAAACTTTCGGCCTGGATGTCAGCGAGGAGATCATGCAGTGAGACTGGTTGGGGTCTGAGGCGGGAAGGACCTCTGGGATGTGCACTGGCTGAAAGGGGAAGAGGGGAAGACTAAAAAGTTGATGAGAGTGAAGAAATATAGAAGGGCTGCTGTGGGACTCTAGGCGCCGAATTTGACCTCCGGCTTTACACTGCAGCTTCTGGGACAGGGTGTCAGGCTCCACAATCGGTCGGTGGGGCCTTTTTTCTTAGGAAAACTCCAGATCTCTGATAACTAAACCTGTAAGACTGTCCCTGGAGCCAATTTCCTGATAGATTCTGCAGAGAAGGGCCAAGCCAAATTATCTTTGCAAAAATTCCTTACTCTGAGCATTTGAGTTTGCCCGATCTGCGTGGTGTTTAATATTAAATAGGACCTGGACTTTAAATGGAGGCGGCTGAAGTAAGGTGCAAATAGCTCCTGACTGAGGAGTCCCAGGTTCTATTTTCTGTTGTCATTTACCACTTTTGGAATCTTGGGCAACTTTTTTTTTTTTTTTTTAAATATTGGGCTACCTAATTTTCCTCTCTGTACCTTAATTTCCTCATGTATAAACTGAATACTGAGCAGAGTTTATCTTTAATACTTTGATACCTATAAAATGGAGATCGTGACATAATTTAGTATTTTTTCTTTCAATTGATTTAACATATTTGTTGCTCTGCTGCATAACATGCTGTGGCCATAAAGGCTCTTGAGACCATTGGGTTCCGCGTGGTTGAGGAGTGCTGACTGGGGGAAATGTAGGGTGTTGTGGGAGCACGGAGTAAAGGATTCCCACTAAGATTTGAGAAACTTGAAAGGTTTACTTCAAGGAATCACTTTCACCTGAAAACTAAAGGGTGGGTAGGTGGAAGTGCAGTGTTCAGGCAGAGGGGGAAACTTCTTTAATAGTTGGGCTTGATCAAGGAACCTGAAAGTTTTTTTTTTTTTTTTTTTTTTTTTTTTTTAAGTTTATTTATTTTGAGAGAGAGGGAAGGAGGAGCAAAAAGAGAGGGAGAGAGACAATTTGTGCTGGCTCCGTGCTGTCAGCACAGCCACTTCTTGGCTACCAATAATATAATACTATTTGAACTCATTTCACTTACTAGGTTTTTATAGTTATTGCACAACAGGCTATGATGTCATGTTGAAAGCATTTTTGTGTACATTTGCTGTGTCTTGCCTGGCATTTTACTGAGAATTACTCAGGTGTACTATACTAGTGTGCTAACTTGAACAATTTGGCATGAATGGCCTGAATTTTTACAGACAGCACAGAACTGTTAACTTCCTAATCAGTGATTCACTTATGGAACATTAAGATTTGTACACAGGTTTAGCAAAATAAACTGTTCTACAATCTGCATTAGCTCATGTTTTGGATGATTCTGTTTTGAAAGATTTGTTATATAACACATTTAGATGTATGTTCCTTATTTTACTTTGTTAAATAGTTAAAATGACATTTATTCAAATGTTACTGGAACTCCATAAATCCTTCCCTGGTAATTTGAATACCAGAGTTAAATGATCCCCTGAGGTTTCTTGCCGTCCTTTTGTAAGAACTCAATAGCAATTAATCTTTTGATGGGATGCTAACTTTGGGGATCAAGTTGATTAAACTGTAAAAGTCCTGAAAAACAGTGGTCTTTTCTTTTTTCATCTGTGATGGATTAGAAGATGCTCTTGATGCCCAATGGCACAGGTTTATTCACCTATAGATCATAGCACTGCAAATGCATCCACCACATTAAGAAAATAACCTAGTACATATGCTACTGGTGATGGCAAAATCTCATTTTTTTTTAATGATACAGCATTATTATAATTTTTCTTATATCCCATACCAGTATATCTGAATTACAATTTATTCAGATCTTATAATGCTTTCATGGTCTGATATCTTAATTTACAAGTTATTTTTAAAAATTCTTTTCTAATGGTGTAACATATTCACTGTAGAAATCTTAAAAAATCAGAAAAAAGATAAAGAAGGAAACCAAAATTACCATAATACCACAATCCAGAGATTATCATTGTTTCACTCTTCGTGTTTTTTTCTTATGCATATTGTAATACATTTTCAAAACATAGGGGAAAAAAGAAAAGAAAAATAAACTCTTGTTAATTGACCATAGTGGTAATTATTTGGGGGTATAAGCTCTGGCCTTTTTTCTACACATGTGTATGTGTATACACATTGCTTTTATAGCAAATGGAATCATATGCTCTGCACTCTATCCTATTATTTCATTTACCATTATAGGAGGGCATTTTCTCAGAATAATAATTATTCAAAACTTTCACATTTAGTGGTAGCATATTACATTTTTGAAAGTCCAAAAAGTTGAATTCATTAGTCCCTTTTCCATCAATAGATGTTTTAAATAGATTCTAGTTTTTCATTAATTCAAACAGTGAGGCAGTTAACTTTTGCATAAAATTTCCTGTCTCTTATGTCTTATAAAGTCTTATAAATGGAATTACCGGATTATTTTTAAGGCACTTCAAATATATTGGCCTGTCAATTTTTAAACAAGTTGTACTGACTTGAACTGTTACCCCATTTCACTTTTATGAACCTTTATAACATTTCCTTAAAATAGATCTGCTCATTACGATGTGATACCAATCTTGATATATAATTTTTGAGAATATTAAATCAACAACTGTTTAGATTGTTCTATGTACTCATATTTTTAGCAAAAGAAATTTTAGGTTTTATAATATAGAGATTAAGTGATTTGTATTCCTCGGAAAATATGACTGCAGATATGTAGTTATAGGAAGTATTCCTATGTTAAGGACAGCTCCACAAGCCTATCTTCAAAACAGTAATTTAATTCTTCCAACAAGAGGGTTACATAAAGGTTTTATTATGAACAAGCTGTGGTCAGGATCTTTGTCTAATCAAACTTATATCCCTAGCACCTAGCATAGAATTTGGCTTAAAGTAAACACTTCAGTAGCTCAGTCGGTTGAGCATCTGACTTCGGCTCAGGTCGTGATCTCACAGTTCATGGGTTTGAGCTCTGTGTCGGGCTCTGTGATGACAGCCTAGAGCCTGCTTTGGGGATTCTGTGTCTCCCTCTCTCTCTGCCCCTCCCCCACTTACTCTGTGTGTGTGTGTGTGTGTGTGTGTGTGTGTGTGTGTGTGTGTGTCTCCCCTCCGCAAAATAAATAAAACATTTAAAAAAATCGTAAACACTTTAATGGATTAATGAATAGTTTGTACTACGTCAGTTTATATTGTGATTATTGAAAGACATAGTATAAGCAGTCTTGCTTAAACAGCTTCTATTTTTGCTTCCTGAGGTATGTTTTGTCAATTGAGAGTGCTGAAGAGATACGAGAATATGTCACTGACCTCCTTCAGGGAAATGAGGACAAAAAAGGTCAATTCATAGAGGAGCTTATAACCAAATGGCAAAAGAATGATCAGGAGTTGAGTTCTGATGCTCTGCAGCAGTCCTTCAAAAAAGATGGTAAGTGGGGCGCCTGGGTGGCTCAGTTGGTTGAACGTCTGACTTCAGCTCGGGCATGATCTCATGGTTCCTGAGTTCAAGCCCTGCATTGGGTTCTGTGGTGACAGCTCAGAGCCTGGAGCTGCTTCAGATTCTGTGTCTCCCTCTCTCTCTGCCCCTCCCCTGCTTTCAGTCTGTCTGTCTCTCTCTCAAAAATAAACAAACATTAAAAAAAAAAAATTAGAGAAAAAGGTGGTAAGTTAATATAATTAAGTAATGGGCTGGTTTATAGAACCTCATATTTTCTGTAACTGCTATTTCCTCACAGCTAACTTAAGCAGAATCATATGTATCCGTATTTTTCAGTTCTACTCAAACTGGAATCAATACTGTTTTGTTGAGACTTTTTCAACTTAGAAAATATCACAAGAATACCTGTTTGCAGATAAAAATGTGGTTTCAGAATAGTTTGAAAAATTTATCCATGTTTTAAAAAAACAATTTTCAGGAGTACCTGGGTGTCTCAGTCAGTTAAGCATCCGACTTCCATTCAGGTCATGATCTCACAGTTCCTGAGTTTGAACCCTGCATCAGGCTCTGTGCTGACAGCTCAGAGTCTGGAACCTGCTTTGGATTCTGTCTCCTCTCTGTCTGCCCCTCCCCCACTCACTCTCTGTGTCTCTCTCAAAACAAATAAACATTGGGAAAAATTTTTTTAAAGATTTTAGTTACCTGTATACCTGGATAAAAGTAAATGTTGACCAACTTTAGTATGAATAGCATTTAGAAGTAACTATTTAGTTAAAAGATATGAAAGATAAACACCAAACTAAATAATCTAAGTCATTATTATTATATAATCTAAACTATATCAGATTTTAGGGTCACCTGGGTGGCTCAGCCAGTTAAATATCTGACTCTTGGCTTTGGCTCAGGTCACAATCTCATGGTTTGTGAGATTGAGCCCCATGTTAGGCTCTGCACTGACAGCATGGAGCCTGCTTGGAATTTTATCTCTTCTTCCCTCCCTCCCCCCTCCCTTTCTCTCTCTCTGCCCGTCCCTCCCTCCCTCTCTTCTCTCTCAAATAAATAAATAAACTTTAAAAATAAAATAAAGTAGCAGATTTTAATTTACTTTCTTAATCCCAGCGAGTAGTCTTTACCACTGACTATCTTGAAAATTATGGTTTATATTTAATTCTGGTTTGAGAGGAAAAGCTAATGTAAAAACCTTCCTGACTGCATATCTTCACTCTAAATATTCAGCATCACCTTCTGTTTATTACCTATCAGTTCACCAATGAATCCCATTATTATCAATCTATATACGTATATGTATAATTTTTTTTTCTTTTAAAGAAATGTTGGATGGGCAGAGATCAGGAGACCAGCTAAAGAGGAGTAGGAGGAAAGGCAGAAATAGACAGGAAGTTCCTGCATTTGCTGAACCTGACACAACCACGGAGGTCAAAACACCTTTTGATTTGGCCAAGGTGAGTGCTTATAGAATGAATCATTTCCTAGCTGTATGAAAAAGAGGAAGTGACTGATACATTTCAGAGAGCAAAGTGTGCAAATTGTTCTAGAGTGGCAATTATTCAACAAATGCATGAATTTTATGGAGAAAAAGTGATAATGATGATACATTACTTTCTATATGGTAGATTTTTTTGGCAGCCTGATTTTTAAAAAAATTTTTTTTAAATATTTATTTATTTTTGGGAGACAGAGAGACAGAGTGCATGCGGGGAAGGGACAGAGAGAGAGGGAGACAGAGAATCTGAAGCAGGCTCCAGGCTCCAAGCTGTCAGCACAGAGCCTGACGTGGGGCTTGAACCCATGAAGTGCAGGATCATGACCTGGGCTGAAGCTGGATGCCTACCCGACTGAGCCACCCAGGTGCCCCTGGCATCCTGATTAAATAATTATTATAAGGACATCTTGGTTAGAAATGAGATTGAGAAAGATATACATATATACATATATATATATCTTACGTATATATACATATATATATATTTTACACATATATATATAATATACATAATGGAAAATATTTGATGAAGTGCACCAGGGCTTCATTTTCAGCATTTTGTGTGTGGGTTTTTAATTAAAAAATGGACAATTATAGCTGTTATTAGAAGAGTGTTCCTACTTTGAGCCATCTGCCCTTGCACCATCGTCATCATCATTTAGTGTTTAGAGTTTTTTTCGTATTCTCTCATGGCTCTCAAAATAGCCCTGTGAGGTAAGCAGAAATATTTATAATCAGGGAAATTTGAGAAACTAAATTTCCCAACATAAGGGAATAGTTAATTATGCTGAGATGGCAGATAGGTGATCAAAAAATTCTGAGTGTGATGACCATGCAATAAAACATGGAAAAGTGTTTGCAAAATAATGTAAAGTTCAAGGGGGAAAAAAAAGAGAGACTTAAGCCTTTTCCCAAGTGGAATAAAATGAGCAAAGAAGCCTTGTAAGCAAAAGAAAAACACAAATGACCGATAAACATTAAAAGATGTTTAACTTTACCAGTTTGTCACCCTAATTGCCTGGGACTTTATCAGTTTTAGCACTGTAAGTCCAGTATTCTGGGATTTTCCTAAGTCCTAAGCAAACCGTGGTAGTTTGTGTATTAATGTGTATTGATTGTATTGATCACTAGTAATCAATAAACACATATTAAATCCCTGAGGTATTGCCTATAATTAAAAAAATTTTTTTTAATGTTTATTTTTTGAAAGAAAGAGAGCACAAGTGGGGGAGGGGCAGAGAGAAAGGGAGACACAGAATCCAATCCAGGCTCTGAGCTATTAGCACAGAGCCCATTGTGAGGATCAGACTTAGGAACCATGAGATCATGACCCGAGCCCAAGTCATATACTCAACCCAGTGAGCTACCCAGGCGCCCCGCCTATAATTTTAAATTGCTAAAGATTTTAAAAATAGAATACTCAGTGATGGTGAAGTTGTATTAAAACAAGAGCCCCTGTACACTACTGGTGGCAATGTTAATTGGTTTAAACTCTTTGGGGAACAGTTTGGTAGCATACATCAAGAACCAGAAATGTTCCTATCTTTTTGACTTGTTAATATGACTCAGAAATTTAACATAAGAAAGTAATCAGAATTGCACACAAAAGAACTATTGAAAATGTGAACTGATCTGTTTAGCAGTAAGAGAAAGACTAAAATTATACTTCCCTCATTTGATGGAATATCATTCAACTAATAAAATTGTTCACCAGAATATATGATTTGGGAAAACATTTGTCATAAAATATTGAGTGACAAATGTGTGAACGAAATACGTAGGTTTGATTTTTTTGTGTTTAAAAAAAATTTTTTTTTAATGTTTACTTATTTTAGAGAGAGAGACAGAGAGAGCCAGCACGAGTGGCAGAAGGGCAGAGAGAGAGGGAGAATCTGAAGCAGGCTCCAGGCTTCATTTGGCTCAGGTCGTGATCTCATGGTTAGTGGGTTTGAGCCCCACATTAGGTTCTGTGCTGACAGCTTGGAGCCTGAAGCCTGCTTCAAATTCTGTGTCTCCCTCTCTCTCTGCCCCTCTCCTGCTCCTGCTCTCTCTCTCAAAAATAAATAAAACATTAAAAAAAGGTCTTTTTAAGTTTTTTTTTAATTGATTTTTTGCCTTTAAAAAATACTTAGAGCGCCTGGGTGGCTTAGTTGAGTAGTCAACTCTTGATTTCAGCTTAGGTCGTGATCTCACAGTTGGTGGGATCAAGCTCTGAGTCCAGCTGCAAGCTGAGGGTGGAGCCTGCTTGGGATTCTCTCTTTCTGTCTCCCTCTTCACCTTTCCTGCTCATGCATGTGCTCTCTCTCACAAAAAACAAAAAAACTTACTCTATACACACACAAACATTTTCACATGCACACACATAGAAAGACTGAAGGAAAGTGTTAAAAATGGTGTTTCTTCAGGTGTTATGACAATAAATGTTTTAATTTTTCCTCTTTATACTCTATTTTCCTCTTTATACTATATTTTCTATTTTTTTTTTTACTTTTTTACCATGAACAAGAATAGCCTTCCTAAAAACCAGCTTCATTGAGGTGTAATTAAATACATATGTAATTGTACATATTTAAGATATACAATTTGATAAGTTTTTTAACCATCTTAGTTTTTTAAATGTATACTTTAGTAGTGCTAAAAGTATTTTCATATTGTGCAATAGATCTCCAGAACTTTTTCATCTTGTAAAGCTGAAACTCTGTACCAGTTAAATAGCTCTCCATTTCTCTTGCTGCCAGTCCCTGTCAACTACCATTCTACTTCCTGTTTCTGTGAATTTGCTTTACATCTAAATGGAATCAAGCAGTATTTGTCTTTTTGTGCCTGGCTTATTTCATTTAACATAATGTTCTCAAGGCTCATTTATGTTGTAGCATATGACAGAATTTCCTTTTTTTTTTTTTTTTTAATTTTTTTAATGTTTATTTAGTTTTGAGAGAGTGTGTGAGCAGGGGAGGAGCAGAAAGAGGGATACAGAGAATACAAAACAGGCTCCATGCTGTCAGCAGAGAGCCTGACATGGGGCTCGAACTTGTGAACTGTGAGATCATGATCTGAGCCAAAGTCGGGTGCTTAACCGACTGTGCCACCCAGGTACCCCAATTCATAACACTTTTTATATTTGCTTTGGGTCTTTTCTTTTTCCTTTTTTTTTTAAAGTTTATTTATTTATTTATTTTGAGAGAGAGAGAGAGAGAGCAAGCGAGCATGTGTGCAGGGGAGGGGCAGATAGAGAAGGAAAGAGAATCCCAAGCAGGCTCCGTGCTGTCAGTGCAGAGCCCAACTAGGAGCTTGAACTCAAAATCCATGAGATATGACTGGGCTGAAATCAAGGATCGAATGCTTAACCAACTGGGCCACCCAGGGGCCCCAGGTCTTTTCTTTAAAAATGAATGAATGAATGAATGAGTGAATGAATGAATGAATGAGGGGTTCCTGGCTTGCTCAGTCAGTAGAGCATGCAGCTCTTGATCTCAGGGTTGTGAGTTCGAGCCCCATATTGGGCATAGAGATTACATAAAATAAATAAAATAAATGGACCCTTACTAAGAATGTTGAAATTCTCTTTGTTCTTTCTACCCAGTGGTTCTTGATTTTGCCCCCCAGGAAATGTGTCTGGCAGCATTTTGGCTGGCACAGCATGGGGCAAAGGGGTACTACTGCCATCTAGTGAGTAGAAGCCAACGATACTGTTAAACACCCTACTTACCATAGGGCATCCTCCACAAAAAAGAAACAGTAGTGCTTAGGTTGAGAAACTAATACACAGTTCTGTTTCCTTCTGCCCTACAGATGATTACTATCTTGAATTTGGTGTGAATCTTAAAATCAGTAGTCTATTTTTTCATATATAGGAATATATTAACAGCATATAGTATAATATACTATAGTATAGTATAGTACATTTTTAAAATGTAAGTAAATAGACGGGGCACCTGCATGGCTCAGTTGGCTAAGCCTCCGACCTGATTTTGGCTCAGGTCATGATCTTGGGTTCGTGAGATCAAGCCCTGCTTTGGGCTCTGTGCTGAAAGCCCAGAGCCTGCTTGGGATTTTCTCTCTCCCTCCCTCTCTGCCCCTCCCCTGCTTATGCTCTCTCTGTCTCTCTCAAAATAAATAAATAAACATTAAAAAAAGATAACCATAGTCCATACCTGGATGGCTGCACTATGGAATATTAAAAAAAAAAAAAAGTAGGCTAATAACATAATGTCATTTTGCAGATGCTTTTTAGAACTTTTTGAGAGCAATTTGTGGTATATATAAATTTGGTTTGTTTCTCTTAACTCAAGATTCCACTGATTCAATTTCTCCATTAAGTCATAAATGCACTTTTATCTTGTTTATAATAGTTTGCTGTTGTGAAAACTGCAGTGAACATTCTTGTATGTATTTCCTTCAGGTACATTTGAGAATTGTTAGTATTTACCTGTTACTAGAATTACTGGGTATAGGCTTTGTTAATTTTTCTTTTATTGAAACTACCAATTTTTTAAATTATTTTTAAAAGTTTTTTAAAAATACTTAATTATTTATTTTGAATTTTTTTAATGTTTGTTTATTCTTGAGAGAGAGAGCAGGGGAGGGACAGAGAGAAAGGGAGACACAGAATCTGAAGCAGGCTCCAGGCTCTGAGCTATCAACACAGAGCCCGATGCAGGGCTCAAACTCACGAACCAACAGATCATGACCTGAGCTGAAGTCAGACGCTTAACCAACTCAGCCACCCAGGCGCCCCTAGTGTTTATTTTTGAGAGAGAGAGAGAGAGAAAGAGAGAGAGAGGGAGAGAGGGAGAAAAAGGTACCATGAGTTGGGGAGAGCAGAGAGAGAGAGAGAGAGAGAGAGAGAGCAAGACACAGAATCTGAAATAGGCTCCAGGCTCTGAGCTGTCAGCACAGAGCCCAATGTGGGGCTTGAACTCTGGATGACGAGATCATGACCTGAGCTGAAGTCGGATGCTTAACTGACTGAGCCACCCAGGTGCTCCCAGTTAATTTCTAAAGTAGTTGTAACAATTTCATCCTCCTACTATCAAGGTAAGCAATTTCTCTTTTCTCCTTCTTTGCCAGTGTTTAATATTGTGAGGCCTTTAAAGTTTTGCCCATTTTTAAATTCTTGTTTTTATTTATTTATTTTTTAAGTAATCGGTATACCCAAAGTGAGGCTTGATCTTAAAACTCCGAGGTCATGAGTCACATACTCTATTGACTGAGGTGTTGACTAGCCAGGTGCCCCAAGTTTTGCCCATTTTAAGTATAAGAAATAGTATTTAATTTTGCTTTCCACACACATGAATTCTAAATAGAGGCTCTGTCATTTGAATAGTTTGTTGATTTGTTTTTGATTTCCATTTTTTTTGGCCTTTTGGATTGTCATGAACTACTTATTCATATTCTTGATCTGCTTTTCTGTTGAGTTGATGGTCTTTTTCAAATTGTTTTATGGGAGTTCTTTATTCTATATAATACTTTAATACATAGATTTTTTTTTTTAATTTGTTTATTTATTTTGAGAGAGAGAGAGAATGAATGAATCTCAAGCAGGCTCCTCACTGTCAGCACAGAGCCCGACTCGGGGCTTGATCTCACCAACTGTGAGATCATGACCTGAGCTGAGATCAAGAATCAGGCACTTAACCAACTGAGTCACCAAGATGCCCCTTATGTACTATTTTTTTATTATATGTGTTGTAGATATCTGCTGGTCTGTGTTTTTCGTTTGTGGTATCTTTTGACTCACAGGAATTTTTAAATTTAATGTAGTCAAATATATTGATCTTTTTCTTTGTTTTATGCTTTTTATAGCTTATTTAAGCTTTAAGGCATTTTCCCACCCTGAAGTGAAAAATATATTCTCCTAAATTTTCCTCTAATAGTTTAGAAGTTAAAATTTTCACATTTAGGTTTGTAATCCATCTGAACATTATTTTGAGTAATTTTTTGTATTACTCTTATCAGTAAAATACTTGTTTTTAAAGTAGAAGCATTGGGTTGCCTGGGTGGCTCAGTCAGTTAAGCGTCTGACTTCGGCTCAGGTCCTGATCTCACGGTCCGTGAGTTCGAGCCCCGCATTGGGCTCTGTGCTGACAGCTCAGAACCTGGAGCCTGTTTGGGATTCTGTGTCTCCCTCTTTCTCTGACCCTCCCTGTTCATACTGTCTCTCTCTCTGTCTCAAAAATAAATAAATGTTAAAAAAAAAATTAAAAAAAAATAAAGTAGAAGTATTACATAGACGTGTGTAAATATATATTTTATAAGTGGTGACTGCAAGTGTATAGAATCTTAATGTAAAAGTAAAATTAATACCATAAAGAGAATATTTTCTGGTCAGAGTTATCAAATAATGGATAATAATTTTTTTTTTCTTCTAAGTAAGCTCTGTGCCTAATGTGCTGCTTGAACTCACAACCCCAAGACCAAAAGTCACATGTTGAGCCAAACAGGTGCCCCACGTAATGGATAAAAATTTTAAAGTCTTATTTTGTTCTTTTAAAAATAGCTATGAAAGGGGCGCCTGGGTGGCGCAGTCGGTTAAGCGTCCGACTTCAGCCAGGTCACGATCTCGCAGTCCGTGAGTTCGAGCCCCGCGTCAGGCTCTGGGCTGATGGCTCGGAGCCTGGAGCCTGTTTCCGATTCTGTGTCTCCCTCTCTCTCTGCCCCTCCCCCGTTCATGCTCTGTCTCTCTCTGTCCCAGAAATAAATAAAAAACGTTAAAAAAAAAATAAAAAAAAAATAAAAATAGCTATGAAATAATAGCATACAATACATTAATGAACTTTTAATAAAATAATTTTTAACATCCAGGAGAGAAAGTTGTTGAAAACAACATGAAAACCACTATCTATGTTTTCTCCTTTGAGTCAGTTTCCTCTGGATGCTTTTTCACAAATTCCAGTTCAGTTTTTAAAAATTTTGAAGTTGTTGATAAATATTTTTTAAAACATTTTTTAATGTTTATTTTTGAAAGAGAGAGACAGAGCATGAACAGGGATGGGGCAGAGGGAGAGGGAGACACAGAATCTGAAGCAGGCTCCAGGTTCCAAGCTGTCAGTACAGAACCCAACATGGGGCTTGAACTCAGGAATCATGACCCACAAGATCATGACCCGAACCAAAGTCGGATGCTCAACCAACTGAGGCACCCCATTAAATATTTTAACATTTTATATTGCAATCTTTTTAAGTGTTTCTTTTTTATAATCATTTAATCTTTTAATCCATTTAGTCCTATGTTGCTTTAGTCTGTTTGGTCAACTTACTCATTTACCAGTCCACATTAAAGAAGCTTGCTTTGACTATGCAATTTTCTACAGCTACAACCTAGCTTTTTAGTTAAGTAGATGCCAATCTTAGTTTAACAAAGTATTTCACTGTTTTTACTAATGGATCTTAATGAATAAGGTACCTTGATGCTTGTTGTTATATAGGTTTCAAAAGGTAAAATAAAAACCATGGTTCACTCATAACTTCCCAGGCTTGGGTAGGGAAAGATCTTCAAATTAATAATGACTTAACTTTTGATTTCATATCTCTTAATGCTTTAAGAGCAGTTTATCCCTCAACAACCTGTTTCTGAGTCTGTATTTAATTCTTAAGTATTTTCTACTCATTAAGCAAACTTGGAAAATGATTTTGAAAAAATGTTTTATCTCTTATACAGGAATTTCTTGTTAGAGCTGGAGTGTATACTGAATTAGTGAGTTCTGAACCATTACACATAGGAGAAATACAGGATTAGGTTTCTGTGAGCATCTGGTCACAATTTTATCAAACATTCAATACATAACCTTATTTTATGTGTGTTTCTGTTTAAAGACACTTTAATATATCTTGTTGATTTATTAACATTGAACTCAGAGCCAACAGCACTATAACTTATGCCTGAAGAAAGCTTATCTAACACATCTATTATATAAGGTACAGCCTTGTGCTTAGGAATACTAGACAACATGTAAGCACTATGCATGGGACCATTTTAAATATTAGGATCACCAAGAAAAAGCACAAAAATGCAAAAAAAGTGATAGGAAATAGACTGAAAATAAGACACTTGTTTACAGCGTGACAGCTGAAATAAGAAGGCAGATCATTCCTTCGCTCGGCCTTAGCGGGAAATCTATACATTTAGAGGCTCAGATTTTTTGCCACCCTGCTCATGTCCACAAATGGTTGTAAAAGCACCTGGAGTGTTGATTTGGGGGTTACAAATAGATTTTAGTTAGTAGGCAAATTCATAGACCTGGAATCATGAGTTATGATCAAGCTGTGTACTGACAGTTCCACTTTTGGTCCTGTAGGTAAATCTGTCTCCATGTTCTATATGCAGTTCATTTGGTTATTTAGAAAATTCAGAAAATTGTATTGCATGTCTACTGTATGTCAAGAACTGATTTAGGCATTACACATTATAGCAGTAAATAAAACACTGTAGGTTTCTATGCTCTCCTAGAGGTTACATCTTAGTGGTTCAAAGGAAACATAGAAAAGACAGTTGGAAAAAAAATTAATTATAGATTATAAAAACTGCCGTGAAAGAAATAAAAAGGGCAATGTGGGGGCGCCTGGGTGGCGCAGTCGGTTAAGCGTCCGACTTCAGCCAGGTCACGATCTCGCGGTCCGTGAGTTCGAGCCCGGCGTCAGGCTCTGGGCTGATGGCTCAGAGCCTGGAGCCTGTTTCCGATTCTGTGTCTCCCTCTCTCTCTGCCCCTCCCCCGTTCATGCTCTGTCTCTCTCTATCCCAAAAATAAATAAACGTTGGAAAAAAAAAAATTAAAAAAAAAAGGGCAATGTGATAGGCAGTAGTTGGTAGGAAGGGAGCTAGTTTAGGTAGAGTATTCAGGGAAAGCCTTTCAGAGGGAGTGAAGTTATAGCTCAGAACTGAACAATGAAAAGGAGCCCTGGGGCACCTGGGTGGCGCAGTCGGTTAAGCGTCCGACTTCAGCCAGGTCACGATCTCACGGTCCGTGGGTTCGAGCCCCGCATCAGGCTCTGGGCTGATGGCTCGGAGCCTGGAGCCTGTTTCCGATTCTGTGTCTCCCTCTCTCTCTGCCCCTCCCCCGTTCATGCTCTGTCTCTGTCTGTCCCATAAATAAATAAAAACGTTGAAAAAAAAAATTTTTTAAGCATGCTTATATATGTCCCGTAAACAGCTTTTACTGCTAGATTTACCTTCTACCAGCTATAATAAGGGACTGAAAGCTACTAGCAAAAAAGGCAAGGTATATCAGGTAGCTTTTCTAGAATATAACCTTTCTTCAGACCCTTGATTATAACCCTTAATTTGTGTTTCTCTCACTACCTTCTGTCATGGTTCCTAGGTAGTATATAAGTTGTCATTGAACAGAACTGAGGTTTTTCTTTTCTTGACTATTTTCATTGTCATTAATTTTTTTTATGTTATTTCTGATATCTTTGTACAATTAGGCACAGGAGAACAGCAGCTCCTTAAAGAAGAAGACAAAGTTTGTCAGTTTATACACAAAAGAGGGACAGGACAGGCTTGCAGTCCTGATTCCTGGTCGCCATCCTTGTGATTGCCTGGGCCAGAAGCACAAGCTGATCAATAACTGTCTGATCTGTGGGCGCATTGTCTGTGAACAAGAAGGTTCTGGCCCCTGCTTTTTCTGTGGCACTCTGGTAAATGTTTCTTTTATATTTTATTTTACTATCTTTTGGTTGAGTACATAGGGACATTCACATCCTTAGTAATTTCTTTTTTCTTAGGAAATTTCTTCCCTCAAATGTCCAGTAAACTCCAGTAGCAGGAATTCGATTAATCAAGAAACCAAGGTTATATCTTAGTACTGAGGACTGTTAGTGAGAAGAGTTTTGAGTATATATATTGTTGAAGGCTCCAAGTCTTGTACTATAACATAATCCTCAGGTTATTATAGCTTCTATTTCCAGGACAACTCATCTCCATCTTCGTTGTCTGACAGAATGATCTCAAGAGTGTGGTAGTAATGACTGTCTTACAAACACCCTAATGAGTTGTCTGCAAAGCTTATTCTGCCAGTTGAGCTGGTTGGCAGAAGCAATGGTGTTTGATGTTGGTAAAGGCATCCATTTTATATTTTGCCTTGTTTTCCCTTCTCTGGTGCCTTTTTACAGTACACTCAAAAACTAAGCTGAAAAAAAAAATAAGCTAGTAGTGGATGACCTGAAAAATATAGTATCTACAATAAAAAATATAAAATGAAAACATACATTCTTAAATCAGTAAATATCCTCTGATATGGGGCTTTCTGTAGAAAAACACCCTATAGCTGCTAGTGGGAACTTTGTGCCACTGCAGCAACCTCTAGGCAATTTCCATGTTTTCTGATAAGTCTTTTGAATCCTTAAATTCAAGAAAGAGTAACGTAAAGCAGATTGACCTTTGAAGTCTTGTAGTTTTATAAACTCAGTATGAAATTGGTTTGAAAAACTCCTTTTTTGCCTCCCTTATAATTGCAGTCATTTTGTAATAAATAGAACTTTTTCTTTGCTTAATATATTCATTATTTTATAAGTAGGTAGTATTCAAAGACAAATGAAATATGTATAGTATAAAAGACTAGTTTTCACTGGTGGCACTGTAATTTGCTTTTTCTGGTTCTTTCTAATAAGACATCTGTTTATAATTTCTTTTGTAAGACTTGGATTAAATGATTAGAACTGGAAGTCTTTTTTAAAAAAAAAAGTATTATATTTTTTCCCCAATATTCAATGATGGCAAATCTTTGTCCTTTGAAAGTAGGTTAGATTTTTTTTCTTTTTTTTTCTTTTTTTAGCTATCAAATCATTTAGGGACACTTCCAATGAGATCAATTTTTTCTATGGTTCACGTAAGAAGGGAAAAATCGAAAGAGACCAGGGCAAACTCATTTGGATTTGTATATTTTTGTTAGGTTTGGATAACAAAAAGCACCAATGGTCTCATTTTATTGCCATATCTCTTGTAATTTGAGGTTACTTTTTAGATATATTAAGACAAAATTAATGTAACTATTGGATCATGTGTCTTGTTCTTGTTACTTTATAGGTATGTACTCGTGAAGAACAGGATATTTTACAGCGTGACTCAAACAAAAGCCAGAAATTGCTGAAGAAGCTAATGTCAGGTAGGCAACAATGTTCTGATTGGATTACCATGGTGATTAATACATTTTGTTGTGTCTGTGATTGTTTTTCTTGTATACTGGTATGCAAGATGCAGTTTATTTACTCATTTATCCTACAGGTGTTTAAAAAAATTTTTTTTTATATTATTTTTTTTTGAGAGAGAGAGAAGTGGATAAAGGGCAGAGAAAGAGGGAAAGAAAGAATCACAAGCAGTCTCCATGCTGTCAGAGTAGAGCCTGATGTGGGGCTCGATCCTAGGATCTACAAGATCATGACCTGAGCCAAAATCAAGAGAAGGATGCTTAATTGACTGAAGCACCCAGGTGCTTCTCTCAGCATTTATTTTATATTTTTAAAAAATGTTTATTTATTTATTTTGTGCAAGAGAGAAAGAGTGCACATGAACAAGGGAGGGGCAGAGAAAGGGAGAAAAAGAACCCAAGCAGGCTCCATACTGTCAGCACAGAGCTCAATGCAGGGCTCAGTCTCTTGAAACGTGTGATTACGACCTGAGCTGAAAGCAAGAGTCAGAGGCGTAACCAGCTAAGCCACCCAGGCACCCCTACAAGCTTTTATTTATTTAAAAAGTGTTGGGGCACCTGGGTTAAGCGACCGACTTTGGCTCAGGTCATGATCTCGCGGTTTGTGAGTTCGAGCCCCACGTCGGGCCCTGTGCTGACAGCTCAGAGCCTGGAGCCTGCTTTGGATTCTGTGTCTCCCTCTCTCTCTGCCCCTCCCCCACTCATGCTCTGTCTTTCTCACTCTCAAAAATGAATAAATGTTACAAAATTTTTTTAAGTATTAAAGCCACATAACATTGAGTAAAAAACTAATAATATTGGATTATAACTGAGATAATAAAATCAATGTCCTGAATTAAATGAATAAGTTAATAAATAGGGGAGAAGGGTCAGCTTTTTCTTATAGAAAAATTCCAATTAATAATGCGAAGGAATGAGGGTTGTAGAAAATCGCCATTTAGAATACCACAGCAGTAGTAATTGCTACAGGCAAGATCCACCAATGGATGCTAAAACTGTTGGATGAAAAGTTAAAGAATAGCAGATTTGCAAAGTCATGAAAAACCAGGAAAGACCAAAGATTGTCACAGATTAGACGATAACTGAGGAGACATGACAAGTAACTGTAACGTAGGATCCTGAATTGGATCCCAGAACAGGAAAATAACATTAATGGAAATAATGTTGGAATCCAAATGAAGACTGTAATTTAGTTGATAGTATTATAGTAAGCTATATTACAAAGCTGTAGTCATCAAGACAGTATGATACTGGCACAAAAACAGACACATAGATAGAAAACCCAGAAATGGACCCACAACTATATGGTCAACTAATCTTTGACAAAGCAGGAAAGAATATCCTGTGGAACAAAGACAATCTCTTTAACAAATGGTGTTGTGAAAACAGTATGGCGACCTGCAAATGAATGAAATTGGACCACTTTCTTACACTGTACACAAAAATAAATTCAAAATGGATGAAATTCCTAAATGTGAGACAGGAAACCATCAAAATCCTACAGAAGAACACAGGCAACAACCTCTTTGACTTCTGCCAGAGTGACTTCTTACTACACACCTCACCAAAGGCAAGGGAAATAAAAGCAAACATGAACTACGGGCACTTCATCAAGATAAAAAGCTTCTGCACAGTGAAGGAAACAACAGAACTAAAAGGCAAACCACGGAATGGGAGAATGTACTTGCAAATGACTTCTCTGATAAAAGGTTAGTATCCAAAATCTCTACAGAACTTCTAAAGCCCAGCACTCAAAAAACATCACCCAGTGAAGAAATGGGCAGAAGACACGAATAGACACTTTTTCAAAGAAGACATCCAGATGGCTAATAGAGACATGAAAAGATGCTCAACATCATTCATCATCAGGGAAATACAAATCAAAACCACAGTGAGATACCACCTCACACCTGTCAGAATGGCTAAAATTAACAACACAAGAAACAACAGCTGTTGACAAGGATGCAGAGAAAGGGGAACCCTCTTGCACTGTTGGTGGGAATGCAACTGGTGCAGCCACCCAGATGTTCATCGACTGATGAATGGATAAAGATGATGTGGTATACATATACAATGGAATATTACTCAGCCATCAAAAAAGAATGAAATCTTGCCATTTGCAACAACGCAGATGTTAAGGGAGATAAGTCAATGAGAGAAAGACAAGTACTCTATGATTTCACTCATGTGGAATTTAAGAAACAAAACAGATGAATATATGGGAAGGAGGGGGAAAGAGGTGATAGGGAAACAAACCACAAGAGATTCTTAACTGTTGGGAACAAACTCTGGGTTGATGGGGAGAGGTGGGTGGGAGATGGGCTAGATGGGTGATGGATACTAAGGAGGGCATTTAATTGTGATGAGCACTGGGTTTGTACGTAAGTGATGAATCACTGAATTCTCCTGAAACCAATATTGCACGGTATGTTAACTAACTAAAATTTAAATTAAAAAAAAAGGATACGATTGTTAATTTCTTTTGATAATTGTACTATGGTTATGTGAGATAAGGTATTAGCATTAAGGGAAACTGACAGAAAGTTATATAGAACTTTTCTTTCTTTTTTTTTTTTTTTTTTTTTTTTTTTTTTTTTTTTTTTTTTGCAACTCTTTTCTAAGTCTTTTTTTAATAATTTATTATTATTTTTTTTAGTTAGCCTATGTTTTGAGAGAGCACAGGGAAGGGGCAGAGAGAGAATCCTGAGCAGGCACCCCACTGTCAGTGCAGAGCCTGATGCAGGGCTCAAACTCAAAACCTGTGAGATCATGACCTGAGCTGAAACCAAGAGTCAGACACTCAACCAACTGAGCTACCCAGATGCCCTTTTCTTTGTCTCTTATAGTTGAAAAACACTTAATAAAAATTGTTAAGGACACGGGTGCCTGGCTGGCTCAGGCAGTGAAGCATGCAACTCTTGATCTTAGGGTTGTGAGTTCGAGCCCCACTCTGGGCACCTGAGTGAGTCAGTCAGTTAAAAGTCCAGCTTTCGATTTTGGCTCAGATCATGATCTCATAGCTCTAGCCCTGCCCTGAGCTCTTTGCTCTTAGCACAGAGCCTGACTCAGATCCTCTGTCCCCTTCTCTCTCTGCCTCCCCCCCCGTTCACATTTTCTCTCTCAAAAATAAATGAACATTTTTTCGGGGCGCCTGGGTGGCGCAGTCGGTTAAGCGTCTGAC